ATTATTTTTCATCCCGGATACTACATACGAGAATGTCGTGTGAATAAATTTGGTGAACTCTCTTGTTGTTTTGAACTGGACGTTAATTTTGTCCACATAAGACTAGAAATCTAATTTCTTTTGTATATCCTTCAAAAACTATAATATTTCTTACAGGCATTCCTGCGACGAAGCAAGCTTCCCTGTAGAAATGTATAGGATGGCGGCGTCGATAATGACAATCTGAAGACAGTAGTGGCTTAAGAATTAAAGACCATCATTTTTTTAATCAAAAACGGTTTGTTTTTCAAAGTTATATCAATGTTATATTATTATTCACGTTCTTTTCTTTATATTGTGGTTTTTGGCACAAGCTTTTGTTAGCATGACTTGTATATACCTACAAATAAATAATTATTTAACACGTTGACTGCCATGTAGGTCACCGGTGGCCTACGCGGCGCACTGAAGTAACTACGTCGATTTCTTTCTTTGTTCTTTTTTACTAAGGCGCCGGTATATCTAGTAAACTCTTGATAAGACGAATCCGAAGATACTGACAGTGAATCTATTTCTAAGAGACCTAAGAGATTAAAAAAAACATTATCAAACAAAAGAAGACAAAGTTAAGCAATTCAGGCGCTTAGTAACAGAAATCGACATAATTACTTCAGTGCGCCACGTAGAGCACCGGTGACCTACACGGCAGCGAATGTGTTAAGGACCAAGCCAACATGGTCCTCTGTGCTAAGGCAGAACTAGAGACTGATATGTAAGATACATCCATTAAATTATAAGCAACCAGTGATACCGAAAACAGTCCTGTTCATGACCCGAATATTTGCCAGAAATGGTAATCGAACCCACGACCTTTAGTCCAGGAGTGAGGGTCGCCACCAAGTCAGTCAATCTTGCTGATGTCCATAAGCATTGCCAGGAATGTAGGCATGACCACTCACTATCAACTAGGCCGTATGCTTGTCTACCCAAAGTAGCAATAAAAATCATTTAATGTACAAATTGACATTTATCGAGTATCGATGACGCTACAACAATTTTCTAAAGGTCAGTTTACTATAAAAGTTTTAAAATTATCTCAGAGACCTGAATAATCTAGGATATTTTGTTCAATTCCTTTATATATAATATTATCTTAATACAAGGTGGGCCTAGTGCCTTTTCGAATAAAAATTCAAAATCATCGTAACCCGTGCATTAATCTTGTTCGATGGCTCGATAAAAAATACGTAAAATTACAGTTATACAACAAAACCGAGTTTTCTGCGACCATTAAAAAGTACAGCATATCCACCCACATCGGTTATAAATTAATAGGACCTACCCCCATCGTTGTCATATAATAATGGCTGATTGGGCTCGTGTGAGGTATTTTTTTTATTATTTTTAGGAGATATTTCCACGTGAATTCCACACATCTGGGCGAAAATGATTTATGACCAGCAAAGGGTAATAATAACAGGATTGACATTGAATTCCGACCGCCTTGAAGTTTTTTGACGTAATCATTGGATGATTTTGTGTAAATTTAACGTTTGGTATAAATTATTTTGAATTTGTCAATGAAAATTCGAGATTGCGTTCGTAAAAGCATACATTTGACCAGATTATTAGATACGTTCTTTCTTAAAGTATAAAAAACTTAATCAGTGATAAAAAAAATAGCAATCCAATAAGAATTGATTCTCTTTGATTACCGACGTCTGTAGTGAACTGTCTAAATTACTCATTTGATTTGAATTATGTTTATTTTCAATTGCTTGTGACTTAGGTAACTTGTGACTTGTGACTAGGACTTGCATTAGGTAAAAATATATTATATTTATTTTCAATCGCTTGTGAGTATGTATTAAAAACCTTTAACCCTAAAGAAAACACACGTGAATCTGATAACAATAAAGCAAAGGTAAAGAAAATAAGCAAGAAAAACAAGTTAGAAATCTACAAGAAAAAGAAAAAAACAGCCAAATTATTGTAACTACAACTACTGTTACGGTTTTATCTTATGTTTATTATTATATTTATTCTAAAGTTTCGAACGTGATCACGGATTGCTTCAAGATGCTGTTCGTTTTTTCTGTGTAAAAAGAAACGTACATGCCAAGAAATTATTATTAATGAAAACTAGAAAACACACAAATCTCTAGAAACAACATAATATTAGTCGTTACTAGTTACCAGAAAATTCTTGTTATCGAAGTCATCGGAGGAGTCTGTAAGATAGATATGATGGTTACTTTTAAGCATGCATATTGTAAGTCTGTCTGGAAAGTTATTGGGATAGTTGAAACGCATTGACACACATATTTGTAGTATATTTTCTTTCTTCTCCAGCGTGTAGGCAGCAGTTTGGCTATAGCATTGCTGACGTCCATGGGCGACGGTAACCACTCACCATCAGATAGGCCGTATATTCTTCGCCGACAAGAGCAAAAGAAAAAACTATTTGCCTTAGAGCAGATGCCTTAAAATCGAAATGACTTTTCAAACGATTTCAAATGAAGTTTCTTCACCACTGAAAATAATTACAAGGATTTCAAGGCTGTCCTAATATATGTACCACACACATAAAATTGACCGAATATTATTAAATCATAACATGTAATAATAAAGATGACTTGAGCTAGAAGAAATAAGTCTGCGTTACCGAGCGTTGGCTGGATAGAGAAATTGAAACTTCTTACATTGTATGCAGGCGCTGCTGACAAGCTTAGCTGATAAAAAATGTGAGCGATGACCTATACTTAGACTTGCAGGTAGGAGGTAAGGTTACTTAAGTCTATTGCACTCGTTGCTCTGAGGTATCATGCGCCCACCTTACAATTAAAATGTCGTAAATTCAAAAAGAGGATATTCAAAACCCTTTTTTCTATTTCCAACCAGTTTTCCTTATTCACCAACTCAGCATCACTCCTTGGCTAGGATTTTCTACTACCTTATAACTACCACATAGATATTAGACATTGATTGTCAATATTGCATGAAGACGCGAATTAAGTTCCTGAGAGGTCAACTGTTTTGTAAGAAGCGAAATTTTTTTTTATTACATATATCCCAAAAAAAAGTGTGTAATGTTTTCAGGGCTTATTTACGTTTAAATGTTTGAATAGGTTTGATTCTGTGTTCTTTAGAATGCTTATATCATCCTGAGAGATAGGTACGGTGTAGATAAATGATATTTTTTTTGTTAGTTCATTGGGCCAAGAGTAATAAATAAATTTTTGCCTACGTAAGCAAATTATATGTACTACATGCAGTGTCGTATTGAATAATAAAATTGAGAATTTAGCCTCATATCTCAAGATATGTCTGTATCTATAACATCTCGTTTGCATTAATTACAAAAAAAAATATACAAAATATAGATATTATGTACGTCTACAACAGTGCTGTGTCTTGATTAATCAACTGATATTCTTATTGTAAAGATGAGTGTTCAAGTTCACGACTAATCTGGGATTTGCTGGAGCCCGTTAGCAGATAATGTAATAAAATATTATTAAATAACTGGGAACAAATCAGGCACGGTCATCCGCCCCCAAATTAGGATTCCCTGTGTAATGAGTATCAGAGACTAACGTACATACCAATATACGTTTAAATGTTAATGTTTAAACGTTAAAATGTTAAAAGTCGTCGTACCTAAAGGACAAGACGTCCGGTGCATTCATATCTAGCGATGCACCGGTGTTCGAATCCCGCTGACAGCTACCAATTTTTCTAATGAAATACGTACTTAACAAATGTTCTCGATTGACTTCCACGGTGAAGGAATAACATCGTGTAATAAATCACAAACCCGCAAAATTTTAATTTGCGTAATTACTGATGGTAGGACCTGTTGTGAATCCGCATGGGTAGGAACTACCGCCCTGCCTATTTCTGCCGTGAAGCAATAATGCGCTTCGGTTTGAAGGGTGGGGCAGCCGCTGTAACTATACTTGAGACCTTAGAACTTATATCTCAAGGTGGGTGGTACACTTACGTTGTAAATGTCTATGGGCTCCAGTAACCACTTAACACCAGGAGGGCTGTGAGCTCGTCCACCCATCTAAGCAATAAAAAATATATATACAGTTTTTATTTTATGATATTAACACTGGCGGCAAACTTACCTTTCATCATTTTGTCATAATAAAACATAACGTAAATTCAATAAATAGTTTTATTATCTAAGCTTATGACTTACGGCTATGTACCTATAACTTTTTACAATTAAATCGACTGACCCGATTACTAGAACGCATTAATTACAAAGCCTCGGTAATTATTAACAGGTAACAAAATTACAATACGCCAGAATTCACTAACTTTTAAAATTAATGACGATAATATGATTATATTTTATGATCGATTGCTTGCTTATTTTTTGTGAAAAGCATTTTTTTTCTTTGACCTTGAAAACTATTCGAAAATTTAAATTAAGAAATAAAATAAGTACAACAATACAACTTAACTGGCAGTATCAAAATTTTTATCCAAACAATTTTGAACAAACGTGTTTTTGAAAACAAAAGAAAAATGTATTATTTTTTAAAACAAAATAATTACAGAAACACGGCTAATTACTTTTAATTCAAATATCGATTTTAGTTTATTATCTCTTTGCGACAATGAAACTAGTCTTTACATTATAAATCAATCAGTCTGTTTTCTTTCTTACAATTAAAAGAGCAGTCCGTAAATTCTTTCATTTACAATTCATAAAGGAATTAGTATCCGAAATACGCGATTAAAACTATGTTTAAGGCACTTTGACTAGAAATATAAGAGTCTTTTCGTGTTTATGCACAATAATTTTCGGAGGGTTACGTCCATCTATGATTGGGCTCTGTGGGATCTGTGAACAAAAGAGACAAAAAATTACAAAAAGGAAAGAAGAAATTTGACCTTATATGTTGAAAGAACCATTGAAAATTCAGTGTCGGTTCATGACAGAGGAAAGATATTCAATTTGGAATTTCAATATAATTTGTTTTCATTAGTTTGCAATACTCACATAACTATTTTTGTTGCCACCATGAAATGACGTCTAAGAGTTCTTCTTCATCCATTGATCCCATTTGCTGCTGCGTAGTAACCTCGTAACGATCGACAGCCGAATACGCCGAAGACACACCCGAAGAACATTCCGAAGGAGCTGGCGAATCTGCCTTCTCTGAACAAGGTGATCCACTTCCGTAGAAAAACCCGTCATCCATGTCAATAGAAGTCATCGGCTGAACTGAGTTATTGCTTGGAATATTTTCCCGATTTTCTTGATCGCGCGTAATACCTAATGCGGCATCACTTTCGTCTAATAACTGCTGAAGGTACCTTATATATTCAACGACCATCCGCAATGTGTCGACTTTGCTAAGTTTCTTCCCTGACGAACCTCGTCTGGCGCCACCGGACAGAGCTGCCACTACAGAAGCCGGCAGGTGACGGCGAAGTGCGTTGAATCCATCATTCACTTGTTTTACGCGATTTCGTTCCCGTGCATTACGTCTCGCTATTGACGCGGCCTGTGGTCCAGTGTACGGATTAGTTCTGAAATGCACCTTTTTCCTGTAGTGTAGATTCGGTGGAGTGTCGTGTGTGACGTAATTTTTCTCAGGCGCTGGAGCTATTGCAACGTTTCGTTTCTCTAAAGATGATTTATTCAATGTATTCGAAGGATATCCGGAAGAAACGACCACGTAATTCGTCTGACCTTGAACTAGCTGGATTTCTTGGAGCATTTTGACGTGTTTACACGATCGTCTGCGATAGATACGGACGCACGACCAATCGACGCGGCTATCGAATACGCACTGCGCGATAGGGGAAGGCTTTGTGGGAGCTTTCGGTCAGTAAGCGAAACGCGAACGGCGGCGGTGGAGCTTCACGTACAAGTGGGCCGCCGGCGCACGCGCACGGGTTATATCACCTGCGCCGGCTGCAAAAAATATAAATTTTAAAATTCTCTTCCCCTATTATTTTCGAGCATCCCTTCCCCCTATACGTGCGGGTTCGTACCTGGCGTACTGGCTGGGGGAGATCGTGGGCGCGGGGCAGGGTTGATCAACGCGTGCCCGGTTTTTCTAGTGACCACTGAAAGTTATTATATTAGGAGCCATATGAAATAAATATCTTATCTAGAAACACGTAAAAATACAAGAAAGATCAGAGTGCTTTGCACGATATCGGTACCGGTAGTTATTGTTTAAGAATTTCTTTAAATATATGTATTTTTTTATAACTTATCGATATNTGGGCGCGGGGCAGGGTTGATCAACGCGTGCCCGGTTTTTCTAGTGACCACTGAAAGTTATTATATTAGGAGCCATATGAAATAAATATCTTATCTAGAAACACGTAAAAATACAAGAAAGATCAGAGTGCTTTGCACGATATCGGTACCGGTAGTTATTGTTTAAGAATTTCTTTAAATATATGTATTTTTTTATAACTTATCGATATGTTGTAGATCTTATCAAAGCTTTATGTGAAAAATTAGTAACAATTACTATAGATTTATTATGCTGTCGATAACAAGTAAATCAAAACAGCTAAAAGTCCGTTTTATCATCTTGTATCTTCAGATATATTTTGTCATAAAATCAAGCGGTCGAGTGGTCGCTTATCGAAGCTTCATCGATAAAATACGTCGACATTTACATTAATGAAAGCAATATTCGGAATTCGGGAACGGTGCGGTTAGGTTGTAAACGTAATGAAATTATAAACATCAACGATACAGCTGCATCAAGAGTTTATGTTCGTGTTGTTTCATATTCAAAAACAGCATCAGCTAATTTTTGATACTACTACTATCACTTGGTTATTTTTATCTCATCATTGCTTCATAGTGGGGCGTGACTAGAGGCCCGGGTTCGAGTATTGATTGGACTCAGTATATTCGTATTTTTATTTTGCATTAGAGTCCTTTTGACAGCCACTTGACTTTGACTTTAGACCGCCAATTGTACTTTTTTTGTTTTTAATGTATCGCACTGTTTATTTGTTTTTTGGTGTACAATAAAGAATACTCTCTCTCTCGCTCCTTGTTGTTATTGCTTTTGGCTCCGGTGTTCCGAACATTCGTAATAGAGTAGACAATTTGGGATCACGGCTAATTAACACTAAGCATACCATATTATGTCAAATGTGACCCATTTTGAACTTTTGCATTGACAATGCTTCTTGCTTTTGTCCATTTGACTTCACGACTGTTCTTACCAATTAATCCAAAGTTGTTATACTATTTTGTTTTGTTTTGTTTATTACTTGAGTAATACTTGTCGTATACTGTTATCTACCCGCTATGGTAGAAATAGGTACTAATAAGTTGGTATGATTAGTGTTAATATAGCACATTATTTTTGCACTCTTTTATTGGCATAAACCATAAAATACCTATGTATGTATCTCGCGATTTTTTTTTACTGTAATTTGCACCAATTTCAATATATCGGATCTACTTGAAAATTTGCAAATTTATCAAGGATCGATGGCAATACATTTTTTTTTACTTTGGCCTAATACCTTCATTAGAATAATCAGTATTCAAAATTAAATGTTTAAATTTTAGTACTAGTTATATTTTTAAAGTGTAACAATATTTTAGTGTCAAATTATATTAGTGAAACTCTAACACTAAGACTCTGCGGCTGTTGAAACGTTGCATCGGTACCAAGCTGTAAAATATTTCAAAAGTTTCAAATTGATCTCATAAATGTTGTCCAAACGAACACGTACCAATAACAAGTACCTAAGTTCAATCATTTTAATATAGTGAAACTCAATTACAGTCCGCTACGCCTATCCCTGATTGTATGAAAAGCTCTGACATTTTTTTTTTATTGCCCTTGTAGACAGACGAGCATACGGCCCACCTGATGGTGAGTGGTTGCCGTCGCCCATGGACTTCAGCAATGCCAGGGGCAGAAACAAGCCGCTGCCTACCGCATCTTGAAATGATTAAGAAGCTATATATCATACATTGATGATACATACATAATAATATATATGTAGACATACATATGTCATAAACCTTCCCTAGTGTACCAACAACAACTATGTCAAGTTTCATCAAAATCGAGTAGTGCCTTAAACACTATGTATACAAACAAACAAACAAACATTCGTTTTATTTAAATAGATACATAAATATTGAGCTACTTTTCGATATTATATTTGTTATTTGCAATGTTACCTTTTGTGGATTTTGTATTTCAGAAGAAGAAGCCGACCGAGTAACAGTTGTGCTGATGTCAAGTAGTAGGTACCATAGGAATGTTTTAAGAATGCAATGTGTTTTTAAACCCCTTAATCTTAAAGAATAAATATTGCATATAAATATGTACCCATCTAGTACGGATGTATTAATTGAGAAGCAACAATGTTGCAAAATATCTTTCTTAAGAAAAAATATTCAATGTCTTTACGAGTTTCAAATTTGTTGCAATCTAAAAATAATGCATACCATTTATATACACTCACCTTCGTAATGTAAACTACACAAGTAACTAGTCAAAGTAACTTTTATGAATTCAATTACGAACATTGACAGGTGCGGAGCCTCTGTTCAAAATAGTTAATTAAAAAAGTCTTCTTTGCGTGGAATTAAAATTTCTTCACCACGACTCTAGTGATTTAAGGGCGTTCCTCCGGATCATTGGCTTTCTAAATGTTTATGCGGATAATTTTTGTGTTCTTTAAAATATGTTAATGGTTTAGTGTTGGGTGGATGTCGCTGCCGTTGTTGACAGGACACGCGTGGTTCATGCATAGTTCCGCGAACTCATCAGTCACGAGAATCAATTTATTTCAAGCTTACAAAAAAAGATCTTTTTAAATATTGTAGACAAGTAACTTATTAAGAATTATTTTTGCATACACTGGTGATCGAGCTTCCTGCTCATCTGGTCTTAATTATCGGAATCCATACCAACATGCCCATACCAGTCATCATAACTCATGGGCTTTCAAATCTGAAGGCAAGACTGTTTCTCCGCAAAAGAGGCAAATTGGTAGTACCTGTCTGGTAAATATACATGTTAAGTCCTTACTTGAGCTCAATGTCACGAATACTGGTTACCTAACTTGGAGGATTTGGAGTTGAAGCCTGAATACAATTTTTTTTATTGCCTTTGTAGGCAGGCGAGCATACCGTCCACAAAATGGGAGTGACTACCGTCCCCCATGGACTTTAGCAATGTCAGGGACAGAGCCAGTCTGCGGCCTACAAGTTTGTTGTACTGATAAATATAATATACCCTTAAACTATAATATAATAATATGATGGCACATGAGCATACAATGCATGCGGCAGTAAGCGACTGCCGTGCCCAGGCACGCAATTCCAGGGTTCAGCCTACAGTAAACTACTGTAAGCTGAACTGTACAGGTTAAAAAAATAATTAGATTCTTGTTTTTTATGTTTCTTAATAAATTAAGTTTAATTTTCTGTTGCCACTTGAGGTAAAACAAAATGACGGGTTGATATGATATTCTAAAAATTTTAAGCTCTCCAATGCGATACTGTATATTTTATATCGTGACGTCCTGAGTTATGGACTGCATTCCCTGCTACCAACAAGAACTGAGTGAGCATCCTATGAATTATACTTCTTATAAATATATTCAGTGTTATTTGTGTTTCTCTCGATCAAAGCCACCGGCGCCAACAACCATGGCTGCATGTATCGAATAACATTGCCTTTCCTGCATTCACCCAGACTAATTGAAACGATACACTGTTTGAAATTCTAAGTATTTCTTTCTATTAGTTAATGATGTGACATTTTCTCGTCTTTTTATTACCGTTTTATTTTTATTTGATCACCGAATTCACCGTAAGCATTTTATTTTCCACTACCAGAAAGCTATAATTCATATGGCGTAGTGATTTATGGTGTGCATTTGTTTTAATTGGAATAAATTAACGAGCACGTCTTTCTTAACCAAAGTATACGTAAAGACTACTGTAGATTATTAGTACAATTATTTACAAAAAAACATTTAAATAGTTATAAAACATACGAACGAACCTTTGCTTGCGAAGTAATATCTATATATAAAAATGAATTGCTGTTCGTTAGTCTCGCTAAAACTCGAGAACGGCTGGGCCGATTTGGCTAACTTTGGTCTTGAATTATAATTTGTGGAAGTCCAGAGAAGGTTCAAAAGGTAGATAAATATGAAAATGCTCGGAATTAAATAAAAATAAGAATTTTGTTTTTCCTTTGATGTGTCCCCCGTCGGACGGATTGCTTTTGTTTGTTTTAAGTTTATTTTATACAAAAATTTAGTTTTTTTATTTATCGATTGAGGCACTACGAAGTCTGCCGGGTCAACTAGTTCTTAATGAAAATGTGTTTAATAGTCCCTAATAATCCCGCAGGCAGGTTTTGTTTCTTCAAAAAAACGAATCACGAATCCTTTCAAGGTGAACGACAGCAAATTTGTTAGAAAAATGAAAAAAGAGGAAGGAATTTATAGCGTGTAAGTTTCCTGATATTAGGAGGTATTGTGAGCTCACAGGGGTAGGTTAGTATCACCATTCTGTTTATTTCTGTGGCGAAACCATCGTATATTGTGATTTGAAGAGTGACACAGCTGTTATACAACGGCGCACACTTATTTTTCACTTTAAAACAATTTTTTTGTATATTTATCTATACTAATATACTAATACTAATAATAATATTATAAAGAGGAAAGATTTGTTTGTTTGTTTGTATTGAATAGGCTCCGA